GGTAGGGTCCGCCATCCGGAAAAACAGCTGCTGCGCCTTTGGCTTACACAGCTTGTTCCGGAGCATCGCGGTGCTCCGCGACCTGCCGCAGCACACATAGTCCTCCAGCGCAGCGGGTGCTGGGTCCGTGCGGGAACGGCTGCTGCTGGACATGGTGTGGGATGAAAACCGCATGGTCCGCAAACAGGTGGTTCTGATCGTAGCGCCGCTCGTGGACAGTGAACCGAGGGTCTTCTTCACGCCAGGGTCTTCGCCATCTCAGCGGTAAACCTCGAGGCCGTGAGGTACACCGAACTGATTCCCTGGCACGGACCAGTCACACAGCCTCTATTGTGAGACCTCAGCGACTGCGTGCTGCGGAACAAATTGCAGGCACCGCTGACCATCTCTCCTATCTGGTTCACACTAGGAATGCAACGCAGAGCCGCACTGCCGAGGACGTCTGCGGCTGGAACTGGAACTTCTGCAATACGTGGAACCCAGCTGCGACAGTATTTCTGCTACTGTGCGATCTCTGCCAACACGCGTTTTGGGTATCCAGTCTGTGAGTAGTTGCTGTTTGGGCCGGTGCGTCGAATACACATGCTCGGCAAAAAGCAAGATGTGCATGGGGTCACCTTACCGCATCCCCACCTCTACGTTCGTGGTACAGGCTGCAGAGCTTGCTGTATGCATTAAGTTGTACACCAGACAATATATTTTGAGTCATATGCTATGCATTATTTCATTTGCGTCACGTTAGTTGTCTCAGGGAAGTGAAATTATAAGGCAATGCTAACCAGCATGCTCGTACGAGTTCATACTCCGCAGCACATAAAGTTTCCGCCAAATGCCAATAAATCTGGCAATGTCTGATCCGCATATTAGACCTTAGACCGGGACATTCTCGTATAACGGCTTAAATAGCGCTCGGTGGCAACATTTTTTTATACACAAAGGTATTTTGTGTCGCTTACCGCCCACGGCTTGGTGTTACCTGCGGCGACGGATGCCGCCCAGCGTCGGGCGACTGCAGCACCGGTCGTGGGCTTATGGCGATATTTTGATCGACCCGCGCCTCACGAATTTAAGTTGTTGGGAAGAACGTTTGCTATGCTATGTGCTTTTGGACTCTTGCGCTAAAGAATTTCTTCGTCTCACTTGGTTTTGTTACCGATGACACACACTACTGCTTAGCATCTATACATATCAAACTTTGTCGATTTTAGTGCAAATCAGTGCTGAGCACCGCCCCCCTCTTAGGAAGAATTCGTACTAAATACTATCGAGGATCTGTTGTGCAAACGCGTGCAGAGGCATTGGGACGACAACGGCTGAGTTTGGTATTGCGGGGCGTCACGATCGCCTCTAACGTGGTGTACAGGAGCAGGGGCTGAAGCAGGGGCTGAAGGACGTGTGGTGTTCCCGAGGACTTTTCGGAGTCCTGCGGCGTGTTCCAAGTCAAGCGGCGAACACTCGTAGCACACTTCGAATGAAAAGGTGGGGATAGCTGTCGTGCCTGGTGGCGAATTAAGCTTTCCGAAGCTCTTTTCTTGAGCCTTCGAAAGGGGGGCCCACGTGGTGGCCAGTGCCAGGATGAAAACAATCATTCACGGCCCTGGACGCATTCGAGACATTGGTAAGCACACGCTTGTGCGCGAATCTCTAATCTGGCTTCATTTCCAGAACTTTTGTTTGAAAATGTGTCATCCATATGTTTGCCTGAACGTGCCTTCATAACATCATACCTCCTTGAAACATTCACTCTCGTTGTGCTGGCAGTTGCCTGAAAATACTTCTTTTATACTTTGGTTTGCTCATTTTTTCACCCCACCCCATATAGTTGACTCATCACTGCTTATGTTGTTAGCACTCACAGAATTCAGTGGATGGTTCCTCCTCTCTATGCTGTCTGAGCTCTGGACTCATATGTTATGACTGGCATCTTACAGTCACAGAGCTAAAAAATCAAAGGTTTGTCTGAGGCTTGTAGTTGCTACAAAATTACCAAACAGTGGCATTCATCTATAATAAGAGAGAAGTGGCAATGTGAGTGCTTATGCTAGCATGGAAACAGTAGTGAAGCAATACACACAAGTAAACAGTCATGTGGCACTGCATGGGCATATAACATCCCACATATCTGAAAAACAGTATGCAGTTATGTGGTCAGGTGCTGAAGGCACATACACTGGTGATCAAGTGATGCAGCAGTCTGTGTTAACTCTAAAAGTGAAATGTGTGTAAATACATTGTGTAATGTAAACAGTTATGTTTTGAAGGCCTATATGAAGAGCAATTGATATTGTGGTGCATCCTAAAGTAGAAGTCTAGATAAAGGCAGTGTTCTGAAAGCTGTAAAAAGTTAGTAAATACCATAAACTTGTAGCATATCTTCAAAACTCATGTTATGGGATAAATGATTCATTTGTATTTTGTTTGGCCTTGTGTCCTGGCTCCACTGTTATTGGCTTGGCAACAACTGTGATGCATATTTCTAATCATGGTTCAACATTTTAGTAGGTCTGCTAACCATCTCAGTATGAGGTTGATTGGTGGTGCAGCTTTTAAAGAGACAAATGCTTATAATTACTGTTTATTTACAATCAGGATATGCCATCAAATTATCTGTGTTTTCACTGGGCCAACTTGATATTTTAGACCATGATGTGACATTGGGGTTTGTCCAGTCAAATAATTTGTAAGGTGACATATTGAGAAATGCAAGTAATTAGTATCAAAATTAGTACAAAATATATTATTAGTATGATAATTGATAACATATGGGTGGAAGAATAGAACACATCTTCATAGCTTATAAAGATGTCTTGTTGCCCAGGAAATGCCATTTTTCTCTATTTCAAACTCATTAAGACAACAGATGCCATGAGCTACACACAAGACATCCCGGCATCTCTTGATGTTTGTGAGGGCTTGATCAGCATGACTGTAACTATTCAATACACATTGCAGTTGCAGACTGATTCAGCAAAGACTGTGAAGTTGAAATGGCTTCATCAACACGTCGTCCAGAGCACGCAGCTCCTCCTGAGATTTTTTATGATGAAAAGGAGGCCCGAAAATATTCGTCGAACTCCCGGATGATAGAGGTGCAGGAGCGCATGACGGAGCGAGCGCTGGAACTGCTGGCGCTACCGGAGGGCATACCGCATCTAGTGCTCGACCTCGGCTGCGGCTCAGGACTCAGCGGCGAAACGATCACCGAGGCCGGCCACGTCTGGGTCGGCTGCGACATCTCGCAAGCCATGCTGAACGTCTCCATAGAGCGCGAAGTGGAGGGCGACGTGCTGCTCAGCGACCTGGGCCAGGGCCTGCCCTTCCGAGCGGGCTCTTTCGATGGGGCGCTGAGCATATCAGCCCTGCAGTGGCTCTGCAACGCCGACAAGAAAGAGCACGTGCCGCGGAAGCGGCTGTACAAATTCTTCTCGTCTCTGTACGGCTGCCTGGGTCGGGGCGGCCGTGCCGTGTTCCAGTTCTACCCGGAGAGCTCGGCCCAGGTGGAGATGATCACGGCGCAGGCCATGAAGGCCGGCTTCACCGGCGGCCTGGTGGTCGACTACCCCAACAGCACCAAGGCCAAGAAGATGTTCCTGGTGCTGATGAGCGGCGGGCCGCAGCCGCTCCCGGAGGCCCTGGGCGACGGCGGCCAGGCCAGCGCGGGTCGCTTACGCCAAGCGTGACCGGATGCGCCAGCTGCGCGGCAAGCCGCCGAAGAGCTCGCGCGACTGGGTGCGCGAGAAGAAGGAGCGCCGCCGCCGCCAGGGCAAGGAGGTGGCGAGGGACTCTAAGTACACGGGCCGGCGGCGGGCGGCCGGATTCTGAACTGGCACGCACCGGCCGGCGGCTGTGATGGGGACAGGGCAAGGGGTCGTGCGCGCCTACTGGATCACTGCCCGGCCTCTCTTGCCCCCAGACGTGGTGCGAGAACTGGTTGTGACGGGTCGGGACACGCATGCTGGCGCTGACATAATCCCACTCGTCGATGGTATAACAAGGAAATAACATGTACGTGTTATTGTAACATATAAAAAGGGTTTCTGTCCATTTGGTGCGGCGTTATAAGGCGCCCGTGGCGTGGTGTGACCATTTGATGATTTGCTGTGGTCGCGGTAAAGTCGTTTTTATTTATACGCGAGCCGTGTTTTGACCATCCGGGCCTTGCTGGACCTTGCCGAGCCAACGTCGCTGTGAGCCCGTGCCGAGATTGTGCTTGATTGAGGATTGAGGCTTGTCAAGTGGGTGTTTTTGGCCACGTCATGGTTGCTATTGTATCGCTCCAGGTCATGTCGAGCACAACACGGATGACAATAGACGGTGCAGTGACCAGGAATGTGTGTGTGGTGTCGCTCGCTGTTAGTCGGCAGTACCTGGCCAAACTGTGCCAGTGCAATCGACTGCTCTGGCAGGATCGGAAGTACTGCTTGTTGTGGCCACGGAGGTCATAACTGTGTGCAGTAGTGACCGAACGAGTGGAACGCGCAGTCATAATTCCGTTCATTCTATCGAAACACTAGGGCTATGAATCCAAATCATCGTCTTTTTCTGTCCCATGATTACCACTTCGAATACAAAGCGTCAGCACTCACTCTCCCTCCTCCCACTACCAGATTCCACGACGGCATCCAGGAACTGCTTTAAGTTTTAACATTTTTATGGTAACTCTTTCACATTCAGTTCACATTTTCACAATTCTTCAGAAAGCTTTAGCACAACTTTTTCAATAATTTCTCTCTCGTCAGTCTTTATTTTGCTTGGAACAGTTGGCTTAAGCTTTATGACAGTTTGTGCTAGTTAATTGCAGTTGATGCATGGCTCAATTACATTTTCGTTTTCAACAGCATTTTTGGTAACATCCTAGTCAGCTACATCTTTCAGCGTTGACAATTACGCTGATATTGTACTCACTTTTCAGGTACATAATGTGCACCAGATTCAGATCAGCCGCTCTTGCTGCCTTGATTGGCCTTCTTGCCGTTGCCATTACATTTTTGAAACTTGACATGCTAGGTAAGTCTCTGATTGGAACAATGATGAATAGGAATGGAATGATCCTGAACAATATATAGCGGGAAGGAAATATTTGTTTTTGCACTTGAGCAAGAAAGAAAATCCTGGAAGCTTGGCGTGATGCCGCACGCTGTTCATGCCTAGTGCGATTTGCCTACGGGTTCTCTGGACAACTGTAATCCATGGCGTTTCCTTGGGACGGCAGGGTAACCAGTAAAAGTCAAAATGAGTTGTTTAATGAGAGGGGGGAGGGAGGCATCAGCTTGAAACAGCTGCTATGCAAGAGGTCAACCTTCAATCAGCTGTTCAATGGGGACGGGCGGACATCAGCACCCTTTGTAGGATTTCCGGCACGCTGCCACCAGGCGGCAGCGGGGAGCAGGTGGTGGTCGGCGTCCTGTCGGCCCGTCACCACCGGGCGCAGCGTGACGCCGTGCGCGCCACCTGGTGGCCGCGCCTGCACGATGGCGGCGCCCGGGGCCTCTTCGTCGTGGGAGACACCGCTTGCGATCTGGCTGATTGGTGCAAACTGGACCCATATTCCTGTGAAGCCTGGGAGCCTGCTGATAATGGTACGTGTGTCCGTTCAGGATAGGTGGGCCGTTCATGCCGCGTATTCAGTTGAGCGGTGTGGCGTGTCTAGAGACGCGAAGGCGAACGACGATTGCTTTTGTGACGCAACAGCAGTGTCGTGACGCTGATGGACGCCCCGAGCAGCCTCAACGGTCCGTCCGCTCCACCGCACCGCCCCGCTGAGCCCCCTCCCCTCCCCCCTCCGCTCCACCGCACCGCCCCGCTGAGCCCCCCTCCCCTCCCCTCTCCGCTCCACCGCACCGCCCCGCTGAGCCCCTTCCCCCCTCCGCTCCACTGTGCCGCCCCGCTCAGTCTTCCCTCCGCTCCACCGCACCGCCCCGCTGAGCCCCCTCCCCCCCCTCCCTCCGCTCCACCGCACCGCCCCGCTGAGCCCCCTCCCCTCCCTCCCCCCTCCGCTCCACCGCACCGCCCCGCTGAGCCCCCCTCCCCTCCCCCCTCCGCTCCACCGCACCGCCCCGCTGAGCCCCCCCCCCCCCCTCCGCTCCACTGTGCCGCCTGCTCAGTCTTCCCTCCGCTCCACCGCACCGCCCCGCTGAGCCCCCCTCCCCCCCCCCCCCTCCGCTCCACTTAGCCGCCCCACTCAGTCTTCCCTCCGCTCCACCGCACCGCCCCGCTGAGCCCCCCCCCCCCCCCTCCCTCCCCCCTCCGCTCCACCGCACCGCCCCGCTGAGCACCCCCCCCCCCCCTCCGCTCCACTGTGCCGCCCTGCTCAGTCTTCCTCCGCTCCACCGCACCGCCCCGCTGAGCCCCCCCCCCCCCCCCTCCGCTCCACTGCGCTGCCCCGCTCAGCTGTCTCTCCACTCGGCGGCAGCGACGTCCGGGGAGCAGTCGCTGGCACTGCAGCTCGGCCAGGCCCTGCTGCCGCCGGCCGCCGGGCTCGCCTTCACCGTGCTGCACCCGGTGGTGGTGCGCCGCGTGGCGGTGGCGTCCGCCGCCGCCGCCGGTGCCGTGCTCCTGGAGACGTCTGACGGGCGCCGGCTGTCCGCCGCTGCGCCGCCGCCAGCCGCTGGCGCCGCGCTGGAGGCGCACCTGCTGCCGGCTGGCTTCGAGGGCGTGCTGCGTCTGGAGGAGCCGGCCCGGCTGGGTCGCTGCCGCCACTCGAAGTCACCGGTACCGGGCCTGCTGCACGTCACCGCCCTGCTGACAACCGACGGCCGCCTGGTGAAGCTCGGCCACGAGCCGCTCTGCTGCCCGCTTCGGCTCGTCTTCACCGTCCACGGTACAAGGACGCGCGGCTGGCCGCTGCCCCCTCTGCTGGGTCCTCACTGTTGCTGCAACACCAAGCGTTTTGGAACAACGCTCAGGGCAAATGTCACCAGGGGGCTTATTTTGTGCGTGTGATATGGCGGAGTGTATTGGTGAAAGAGTGCGTCGGTGCGCTAATTCTAGTGGTAATATTCGATCGTAGTCTGTTTTGCAAAGCGTTAGCAACCAACCCGTCCAATCCAGGATGGAGGGCCCTAACACATACCAGTCATTGCGACGCTTGGTCAGGAGCATGGTGCCCTGTCTAACAGCGTCGTCAGTGTGCCGATTCGCCTCTTCTAATTTGGTGACCTTGCTGACCGACCGCAGAGCCGGCGCGGCTGGCAGAGCTGTTAGAGGGCCGACCGGCGAGCTGCCACCGGGACGACGGTGGCGCCGCCCAGCGGGCGCTAGCGGAGGAGGCGGCCGAGCACGGCGACCTGCTCTTGCTGCCCGGCGTCGATGTGTACCGCCGTCTGCCCGACAAACTGCTCGGCTTCTTCTCCTGGTGAGTCCTGCACCTCGGACCGACCGCCCATGGCTAACCGATGGCGAGTGTGTGGCGTTTGGAACACACACGATAGAGACGAACCAGAAGGAAGGCTGGCGTGTATGGTATGTTGCGTCTTGTCTTCGCTTGGCAGGGTCTCCACACACAGCTCTGCTGACTGGGTCATCAAATGTGACGACGACGTGATCCTAGACCTGCCGCGGATACTGAAGAACATTCCAAAACGCACCGGCAGTGACCTCTGGTGGGGAAACTTCAGGTGTGTTATCTGTCTCGATATGTTGGAGTTCAAATGCTTCCAGAGCTGCGAGGTGCATAGGCTGCTGTCAATGGCTTATTTGCTTATTCTGGGTGACTATCTTTTTGTCGATGTATTATCCGGTTGTGCTTATTCAGCGTATTACTTAACAACGTAACAACGTCGTCGAGCAGCGTTGCCGGCAACTGTAACACATGCCAGTCCTGAACAAACCACGGCGTGAAAGTGACTCTCAGGCGGCTGACCGTCGCAGGTACAACTGGCCAGCGAACCGGTACGGCAAGTGGGCCGAGTACGTGTACCAGGCGGAGGTGTATCCGCCGTTCGCGTGTGGCACGGCCAGCCTGCTCTCGATGGACGCGGTGCGCCGGCTGGCCGCCAGTGCTCAGCATCTAACCAGGTGGGGCGCCGCTCGGGGCGACGTCCGAGCGTGCCGGGCCTAACCATGCTTAACCAACACCTCCTGGTGTGCTGAAAGTCGAATGCAAGTTTTTTTAAACATGCTAGCTCAAAGTGCACGCTTAGGATCCAAGGCGTCGCTGTGTGCCTGGATCCTAAGACTCGGACGCCAGCATACCCGCTCGGCCATCGGCAGGTTCCAGGGCGAGGACACGATACTGGGTATCTGGATCCTGAGACTCGGACGCCAGCATACCCGCTCGGCCATCGGCAGGTTCCAGGGCGAGGACACGATACTGGGTATCTGGATCCTGAGACTCGGGCGTCAGCACACCCGCTCGGCCATCGGCAGGTTCCAGGGCGAGGACACGATACTGGATATCTGGATCCTGAGACTCGGGCGTCAGCACACCCGCTCGGCCATCGGCAGGTTCCAGGGCGAGCACACGGTACTGGGTGTCTGGATCCTGAGACTCGGGCATCACCATACCCGCTCGGCCATCGGCAGGTTCCAGGGCGAGGACACGGTACTGGGTGTCTGGATCCCGAGACTCGGGCATCACCGTACCCGCCCGGCCACCGGCAGGTTCCAGGGCGAGGACACGTCGCTGGGCATCTGGCTGTCGGGCCGGTCCGTGCGCCGCGTGCCCGACGCGGACTGGTGGTGTGGCCGGCCGGCCGGCTACAGCCGTGGCCAGCTGGACCCGGCGGCCCTGCGGCGAACCTGGCGCTGCCTGCGCCGCACCGGTCGGCTCGAGCTGTGCGCCGACGCGTGAGAGGGTGCCAGCCAGGCGCCGGTCAGGTCAGGCTGGTGATGCAGGCGGCAGGGGCGTGCTTGAGCGTGTTAGTCGCTGATGTTTTGTTGATAAGTCACGATTTTTTACCCTTGCCATTGTACGTACTTGCCCACAGCAACATGTGGCAGGCGGATAAGAACGTGATGATGGCTGGGATCCCCTTATAACTTGATAAGGGCAGGAGTTTCCGGCGTCTTTCGGGCATCTGTAGTCAAATTTGTGTCCAATGTTTGTTGTGATATCGTGCATGTGATCCAGCAAAACTGTAGAAATATCGCCCACTCATCTCTAACAGTCTGGACGTGGATCCCGGACCAAGGGCTTCATTGACGCTGGTATATGTTGCATGTTGCCGCAAGCTTTTTGACCGTAAAGTATTGTTTCATGCCCTCACTTAAGATGGTGCACTCGTTCTGCTGTGACTTGCAGTGGTTAGTGCAGCACGCCTGACAATACATCGTGATTACAGAGCGGCGCCGCTGCAGCGGCATCTGCTGTCCCCCGGCGGAGGGTTTGTCATCATGACGTGCTCAGTACGATTGAGGTGGGTTCGTGTGGCGGCGCTAGCTCTTGTAGCACTGTACGCGGACATTCCGGTTACTATGCGCCCTATGGACACGCACTCGGTTTACAGCATTTGTAGTAGCGTCTGGTTACGATAACCTGAATGCGTGGTCGCTGATGGTTCCGAGTATTTCGTCATGGCTTCATCACCACGCGATGTTCTGATAGGCATCTCCAGCAATGCTACAGTCAAGGGAGTGACGGGGACAGAACAGTGATTTTGACGGCTAGCGCCAGGTTCCACCGTTGCCAGACGCCGGGCCGTACCCCGGCCGGAGGTTAACCCGAGCTAAGCCCGCTGGCGTCTGCTGGGGCCACTGGAGCGGAACTGCTCCAGTGGCGTCTCCGGAGGGAGCCGCACCTGGAGAGCAAGCACGTAACGCAAGCCGGCTCAAAGCGGGAAGATGGGGCCGGTCACAGAAGTCAAGTGCAATACGTAATTGAGCAATAAACAGTTGCGCATCATCTTCGAATATATCACATCGAATGCTGCGTTGCTTTTTTTCAGAATGAACGGTGCGTGAAATCATTATCTGGAGGCTAATTCAGTGCAAACTATTTTTCGGACGACATGTGTTTGCTTGCCTACGGCGATACGCAAAAAACTCGATTTTCACCTCCAATACTAAAAACAAAACGGCGACGCCGACTTAAATCGATGTCGAAAAGCCTAGCAGGCACTATCCAAAAAAGTTGTAGAGTCGGTGTGCATGGTCTGCACGTCTTGGCCGGTTCGTAGGATTTGATGCGTGTGACACTCGCGCACTGTTAAGCCCTGTAACGGAGATGCAGCCCGCGGTGGTACGGCGCTCTCGTGCTGCTACGCCCCTGTTACGGAGATGGAGCCCGCGGAGGTACGGCGCTTCGTACTGCTACGCCCTGTAACGGAGGTGGAGCCCGCGGTGGTACGGCGCTCTCGTACTGTTACGCCCTGTAACGGAGATGGAGGCCGCGGAGGTACGGCGCTCTCGTACTGTTACGCCCTGTAACGGAGATGGAGCCCGCGGAGGTACGGCGCTCTCGTACTGTTACGCCCTGTTACGGAGGCGGAGCCCGCGGTGGTACGGCGCTCTCGTGCTGTTACGCCCTGTTACGGACGTGCAGCCCGCGGAGGTACGGCGCTCTCGTGCTGTTACGCCCTGTTACGGAGATGGAGCCCGCGGAGGTACGGCGCTTCGTACTGCTACGCCCTGTAACGGAGGTGGAGCCCGCGGTGGTACGGCGCTCTCGTACTGTTACGCCCTGTAACGGAGATGGAGGCCGCGGAGGTACGGCGCTCTCGTACTGTTACGCCCTGTAACGGAGATGGAGCCCGCGGAGGTACGGCGCTCTCGAAATGCTACGCCCTGTTACGGACGTGCAGCCCGCGGAGGTACGGCGCTCTCGTGCTGTTACGCCCTGTTACGGACGTGCAGCCCGCGGAGGTACGGCGCACAAGTGAAGTGCACCATTGTGCCATTCTGTGCATCATTACATGTCCATTACAAAAGAAAGGATGTTGCCAAAAAGTTGTACTTAGCTATTGTCAAATCACACCTAGAGTGTTTTGTACAGGCTTGGTCCCCATGCTCCAAGAAGATTAGATCGACTGGAAAGAGCGCAGCGAAAAGCAACTAAGGTGATAAATAGGACTGGCGACCTAAAATATAGGGATTGGCTTAGGACCTTGCATTTGTATTCACTGGAATATCATAGTCTTGGAGTGGATCTGATGGATGTATACAAAATTATGAAAGGCATAGGCAAGGTATATCTGAATGGGACGCTGTAAATTAGGCCGATGCATAAAGGAAACCAGCTTCATTTAACAAGAGGTAGAAGTAAAACTATGAAGAGGCGGACGTCATTTACTCAGAGTAGTGAACTACTGGAATAGGTTGACACACGAAGTTGTAGAAAGTCCCTCTAACAAAATCCAAAAACCGTGTGGACAAGTTCTATCCGTCTAAAGATTTCATTTGTAACTGAATTCATGCAGTGGTAAAATTAGTTTTAAGGATGTGTACGGGGCCTGAGGTAGACAAACCTCGATGGGCCCTCGTGGATCTTTGTTGGCCAGATGTCTGTGTTTTGATGTCTTTGTGGCAGTAGTCTATTCGGCACTGCTACGGCCAGGGACAAATAATAGAAGCTAAATTGCATGCGTTATGGGGGTTTAAAGTTGAACGGCCACTCTGAAAACGCAACTTGCTGTGAAAATAAGGTTGGAAAAGCTGTTTGACAGGTGCGCTCACTTTATACCCCAAAGGCGGCTCCGGGTAAATTCATTGCCTACTGTGCAGTTTAGACTGAGGAACGACCGCACTGGAGATGTCAGTGGAAGAGCTCGATCCTTCTGATGTTTGAGAACATTATTTAGCTTGGCAGAGGAAAACGTTCGATTGGTATTGTCTTGTCTCTCCACACACAAACCGGCCCAACTGCGGCCTGAGCTTGAGTACGCATGACGCGTACACGCGGCTGGGATGGTTTTAGGAAAACGGAATTGACAATGGATAATGATCACAGCTGCTACTTCCTGAATGTGATCTACCGAAACCAATTCTTATTTTTATGTCTAGCAACTTTCATCGGGCCTTTACCCCCAACCGTTCTGAACGCGGTGTTGCACCATGGTAAACGACTGTCACCAGTATCAATGAACATCGCCGGTTTCAGGAAAATGACAAGAAAGCTGCCATGCCAGTAGGTTAGGAACCATGCTTAGCCAAACACAGTGTGTACACACATCATATCTTTATTAACATACTACATGTCATCCATCATTCTATATCGTCGCAACGTAACAATATAATTCACCAGCAGCCTTAGCCCCGCCGCCACAGCTCGGTCGAAGGACCGTGTAGAGGACGGGAGCACCCGAACCGCGGCTTGAGTGTCCTTGCCGGCCGAGGCTGACTGGCAGGTCGCCAACCTGCCGAGCGGAAGATCAACTGTGGTGACATCCGGCCAGGTCAGGCGTGTCACGCCCCCCCCCCCCCCCAACGGATGGAATGACCGCCATGTTTTCGCTGCTTCCCACGAGAGCACCGTTCTCCTCCCCACATGTGCACATACGGCGGTCACTGTCAACATCTAGTGCATGTCCGTTTGGCGAGAAGAGCGATTCGTTTTTCTGGTCGCGTGGAAGTTTCAACTGCGACATGAATTGGAATGGTCTGATTCACGAGGGCAGCAGGACGACATATTTCTTTAAAAACTGGTTATGGAGTCCACGTACCTTTTACGACTAGGCATCCGAGATGGTCCTATTCACCCTTGATGCCGGCAGACCTCTTTAACGTCTCCATAACCAGCTTAGTTTCCTTCTCGTTCTTTGACACGCCGTATGGGTTTATCGCCTGCGAACATAACGGTTAAATTACAAAGTATACCAGCTCCAAGCCATACCACTGATTGCACGCACAGGACCATGCCAAAAATTCAAACAATGACATACCATGTATGTCACAGAGGATACATGGGTAACAGAGTCCAGAATCTGGCGAAGCTCTCACCTTGCGCATTTCCTCATCACTGGGGGTGACCATCCTCATCAGGAAGTAGCCGAGCCCCGTCCAGACCACCAGGTGGGCCAGCGCCCGCGCCGCCGCCATTGATCAGCTGTGGGGACAGTATCACCTTGTGGCACGCGCAGTATGTCTTATGTTGCCGCACTGCAAGCCCATGTAAGGCGATCAAACAGGTCAGCTTAACTGTGTTGTCAACCCACTGTCACTGGTAGCATTCACATGATGCATCAAATAACTCAAACCTTAGAATCAAACAGCCAATAGCACATCTCATCGCCCCACGTCGGAATCGGGGAATGGCTGTCACACTGCTCCATGCCCTACCTCTGAGGGGAGGACGATGAGGCCGGAACTCTGTGGACCCGGTCCTTCCACGCCTGGATGTCGGCCGACTCAATCTGGCGGTACTCCTCCCCTATGGTGTTGCAGAAGGTGTAGTACGCCGACAGCACCGTCGGCCAGTTGCGGTGCAAATAATAACGAAACTCTGCCAGCAGGGGCACACAAGTTTGTAGCTTATTTTGCTTCGCTCATGGATGGTCATGGTTAACACTTCTGGCCTATGCAAATTAGTCAAGCCCAGTTTTTAAGTATCAAGAAATGGAAAACTGAGCCAGCACCCTATCATACAGTGGCAGTTCCTGTCCCCACATTCACATGAAGTTCCAAGGCATACAATGAAGCACACACTTTTGGCAGTCATCTTCACAAAGCAAGCACTCTCACACACACACAACATTTTTAAACCTGAGAACAGCTTTGATCAGATAGATTTCCAGGATGGCATCCAATTGTGACATTTCAGGACATCAGCATATTTTTTGTAAAAGTTAAGCTAGCCATAATACTTGGCATAGTCCATCCTACCACTTCTGTCACCCAACCTTAAGCATGGCTGCTATGAACTGCCACACTCCATCCCATTTGGACAAATAGTAACAGCTCAAAGCAGCTTGAATTTAACCTGCCAGTGTGGATAAATAAAAAAATGAGCTATAGGATAGAGCTTTTCAATATACAAGCATGCACAAGCTTGTGCAGTGATCTATGCATGTGCAGTGCAGTGCAGTGCTGCAGTGCCCCCACTCATGCATGCAGACACACATCTGTCTGTTGCTGCTATTCATCATAATCAGTACCATTGCTACCTTTTTACATTTGACTGATACCCTGATCCCTATTGACTTTCCTGGAAGCATGGTAACATGCTCCATATAAAAACAAGCATGCACAAGCATGTGCATGCATGCATGCATGCACTCATACATGCACACACATCTGCCAGTTGCTGCTATTCATCATAATCAGCATTAGTGCCACCTTTTTTACATTTGACACATACCTTGATCCCTGTTGACTTTCCTGAAAGTCCAGTATCCTGCTCCAGCAACACCAAGTTCAAGTGCTATGATGACTCCAGCAGCTCGCTTCAGACGTGACTTCAGTAGCTCAAGGCCTCCTTTAGGTCTCTTTACAAGCATCTCACCATGAAATGCGACCTCCAACCAGCTGTTCCTAGCAGACCATGAACATTAATCATATGTCCTGAAACACGTAAATACACAAACAAATCTATGGCCCTAGGAACAACAATTCTACACTTGTCTGCCCAAGTATTCGTTTCAGTTGTCTCCATCGCGTCACTTTTGTATTCAGATTTTTCTTGCAGCCTTCTGATACCGACCAGGGCCGAGGGATTTCCCCATTGGTCCCCTGACGCTGATCTTGTCGCGGACGGGCGCAGGGGACGGGCGTTGACGTGCGGGTGGTAAGTGGGTCGGTGGGGATTACACTGGGTGGGTGACGAGCTGGAATCAACTATCCTAGAAGACCCGGGGGAATCCGTTCCATTACAGAGGTAGGTTCCGAGGTGGAGGTCACAGCATCAACGTGTGTTGATGCAGTCGAGCGTTATTGCATCATACGTGAGGACGGAGTTGCATGAAGTGGGACTGTTAAGGGACCTATTAATATGTTAATATTGGATTTTGAGACCAAGGGCCCAGATGATTTAACCAAACCCAATCTAACATAACCTAATGACAGTGTAGCATAACCTGACCTACCCTAACCTACCCTACCATACCCTTACCTAACCTAACCTAACCTAACCTAACCTAACCTGACCTAACCTAACCTCCCTACCCTATCCCCTTTCAGCCCAACATCTGGTTGGCACTCATGCTCCATGTCACATGTCTACTGTATTATGACATTATATATAGCTGTTATGTCCCTTCTTGCCCCAGGTTATTCAGCAATGATTGAGGCTAGCAGTTTTTGTGTTTTCTTGGCTCAATGAATTTAGTTAACTGAACAAGATTGGCAGTTTTGTTCATGTGATATGCCTTGCACCAAAATTAGGCCATGTGACTAGGGTATGCACCTATCTTTTTAAGATAATGTGTTATGGTGTGGCAGCTGGACATGAGAAGTTTTGTCATGAACCCTCAATAAATATTGGCAGCAAAGTTATTGTGAAACTGATAGCTGTTTATGTGAATTCTGGTAGATGGTAAAAATATCACAAAAACAAAATTATATAGAGTGGGACAATAGTCCTAACAGCATGTCTTTTCAAACTGGGGACCTTCTCAAAGTATTCAAAGATGTCCCCTGCTTGAAGTGCTGCTGGCATGACTTTTGACTGGCTGCAGGTCACATGATCCCTGAATAATTTCTAGATTCTGAGAACAAGCTGTAATCATTGCAGTCATAGATCAGATTGGTCCCAGAACATTTCATTGTCATTCCAGTAATTCATTTACCCAGAACAGATGTCAAAATTGGTACCTTAAGTATTTAAGCTAAACCTTGAATTTTTTTCTGCCTATGGATGACTATGGCATCAGAGGCATGGTAGTACTATGATGCCTGGATCACATTAGTCACGGATGTTATTGAGTGTTCTGATCCTGATTGTGTTTTCAGGACCTGAAAACCTCACCATGAGCAAGGCTTCTGCACCTCCTGACTTTCAGCCTCCAACTGATGGGCCACCCAGCTATAACCAAGCTATGACTGAAGGTGCTGCCTACCAGCCAACACCAGGTATGAACTGACTGTCAGAACAAAGGCAAACTTGAACCACCCAGCAGCCACTGGCTGGACATGTGCTCCAGGAATCCACCACATATTGACTGAGAAAATGTGCATGAAATAACTTGCATGCAGATGCATTTTAGCTAAAGTGGTGTAAGTAATGCTTTAAATCTGGCTATGTGATTTCATCACAGTGAAACTGACAATAACAGACCTGTGGTGCCCAACACTTTTGATTAGTCCCAAAACCAAAAACTAAACCATACCAGAGTTACCTTTAGTCACTATAACATGTAAAATCCATCAGAATGATGTAAATTAATGTGTTGTGGAACCCATGTTGAAGGTTTGGGCCATGTAATTTTTGGATTTGTCATGTTTCTTACATTTTGATGTGTTGACCCTGTATTGTGTTACCCTTTATGTCAACAAATACCATGGTTAAAGGTACAGATTTCACGGCTTTGAATGGATGTTGTAAACTAAAATTTGGTGGCAAATATGGGAGTTAATGATTTCATTCTGAATAAGTTGAGCTTGAAGTCTAGTTCCCATTGTCATGCTTTTACTGTTCTGTGGAAGTTCAGTCAAAAATAGACATGAACTGCTCATTACCATCTTCATGCTATTTTTGTGACAGTCAACCATGCAACATCAAAAGAACAACAGTGTGAACCAAAATTAAAAATTGAAGTTATTTTACTTGTTCAGTGTGGGTCAAACTACGCAGAGTTTTGTGATTACTCAATGTTTGCCACGCAACAGCTGCTATTAGACGCATGGTAGCAATATCACCATTGTAGTCAGTGTGCCATGCAGCCCATATCATCGTCATCATGCTATGAAATGTGGATGGTCATTTTGGACCTCTCAAAAGCGCGTTGGTCTTTTAGTCATGTCGCTATTGATCTGATTTGGGCTAAAACCTGCATAGGTATTCATGGTATCAAGTAACCCCGCCGTCGCACTGTCACCCGAATCCGACAGATTACGCATCAGATTGCGCCATTTATTTTCCGTAGATCGCTGGTCAATGTGAAATATCATTAAGCAGTAAACATTAAGGCTGTAAAGAAATTTCCTTGTTCAACAAAAGGTTCTGATTTGACTAAGATTGAACTTACAGTGAATTATGAGCTGAAATGGCTGCATATTTCTACCAACATTGTAATATACTGTGCCTCATATTCCAAGGCCATATGGTGATACAGCTGGTATACTGATCAAAAGAAATTTGTAAGCTTTAACTTACTCGTTGTCTCAACTTAAGTTTGGCGATGTCATACATTTACGGTTGAGGGCATTCTGAGCGTTTTCGCATGTGATTTAGATCACCACAGCTGTCAGCTCCACTTACATTAGGCATAGCATTTTGTTCTTCATGCATTTGCACGCAAAAACGCAGAAACAAACGAAGACATCGCTACGCCGCCGATGTTCTCTTGCCGTCACCTGAGCAGAGCTTGACCCAGGTGAGGTCACGTGTTATGGGCCGTCGATGACGACAGTGTCACTTTGATTCGGAATGTTTTCACTTTAGCTATGTCGTATGACCTTAATCGAGATTTCCGTGGAAGCTGTTCACCTAGCCATGCGGTGTGACCATCCAAATGGGGTCATTGGTGGACACGTCGTGTAGTGCCCCAGCGGTGTTGTGGGGCGCCTAGGGGTCGGCGCCAGGTACGCATTGTCCTCAAGGAACACCGTGGCCCTCTTGCCAGCCGCCGTCAGTTGTGTTCTGCGGCGGGCGGAATTTGCCCGAGTGTGACTCCTTCTTGGGTGCCTTGTGCGCAGGTCCTGCCGACTACAAGGCTCCACCGATGCCCCAGGTCGCGTCTCCGTACGGTCCGCCAGGCGGTGCTGGACCCTCGCCGTACGGCCAGGGGCCCGGTGTGCCGTACGGCCAGGGGCCCGGTGTGCCGTACGGCCAGGGGCCCGGTGTACCGTACGGCCAGGGGCCCGGTGGACCGTACGGCCAGGGACCCGGCGTGCCGCACGGCCCTGCCCAGCAGCAGCAGTACGGACAGTACGGCGCTCCGCCAGGTACGCGCCGCACCGTCTCAGGAGCGGTCAGGGGAGGAGGATGGTGCACGCAGGACGCACGGGACCCCCGTGGCTCACCTCCAGGGGCTGCGCTGTCGAGACACTCGAGTTGTTGGCAGACGGCTCTTATCGTCAGCCGCTCTTGCGAGTCAAGTAACATTCTTGGGACATTGGCAGGCTCGTACCTTTTCAGCCGTTGAACAGTAGTTTACGATCGTGCTAAGAAGCTTGTATTTTCATGCGCGAACCGTCAAGAGCGCATGGGGCGAACGCATGAGGTGTTTTGTGCCGGCTCGGCACTGCGCCCCTGGCCGACGCCCGCGTGGCACGGCTGAGCGGTGCGCCACCCGTCGCAGGTGTGCCCCTGCAAGCGGCGCCGCCGGCACAGACGCACCTGGTCACGGTGGCCGGTCCCAACCCGGCCCACATGATGTGCCCGCACTGTCACGCCGAGATCGAGACCAGCGTGCGCTCGTCGCCATCGACCACGGCCTGGATCGCCGGCCTGCTGATCGCGCTGTTCGGGTGCGTGCGCCGCAGCCGGGCCGCTCCGCGGCGCGTGGACGCCTGATTGGCTCTGCTGGTGTCGTGTCCCTGTAAACCGGCCCCACCCAGGGCTCGACCACGTGTGTTTGGCCTGCTGTACCGCGAGGACTGTTGGGAACCGCACGTCACTAGCGCAGCGTGACTTTGGGGGAACCTGAAAGCGTTTATTTTAATTGTCCATGCCAGTGTACAGTGTGATCTGACATGTAAGCCGTCTTATCTCTGCAGCTTATCAGGCGTTTAGTCAATTCATTAACATGGTCAGGCGGTAGCTCCTCTCCAAATATCCTCATGGAGCTTTTGCAGGGAAATGCGTAGGAACATTGTTACTGTGTCAATTCGCATTGTTATCATGTCTGTCAGAGTATTTTGCCTCCCAGCCATAGGTGTGTTTGCACGCATCACCTGATGTTTGTTTGCATTCACCTTTCAGATGCTGGATGGGCTGCTGTCTGATCCCGTGCTGTATGGACGAATGCATGAACAAGGAGCACTTTTGCCCCAACTGCAAGGCGTTCCTGGGGAGCTACAGGCGATAAGCAAAGTTCAGGCTGTTTGCTGACGCCCCCGCCATCTGGCGTCGACGTGTGAGACTGCGGGTTGACGTGACCGTCGCACCTGCGCTTTGACGGGCCGGTGTGGTCCCTGTAGGGGGTCTGCGATGAGGTCAAGGCTCTGGGGTCACCCCAGTGAACGGCGAGGGTGTAATCTACACAGGATGTGACTTTACCTCTGTCAACGGGTTGTGGGCAGTGCTACTTCCTTCGCCCGTGCTGGTAGTAATTTTATACCTGTTTAATTTTGTGCATGAGCCCACAGCTTCGGACGTTTGAACGCCATCTCGGGCCACGTTTTGTCGCTCATTGTCACTGGTGCTGTCAAAATCGAACGGGCTTCTCGAGCGGGCTCGGATTACGAGCAGGGGCGGGACGTTCGCAACATTTGACGGCGTTCAAGCATTTTCCGTCAATGGAATTTCCTGATTACTTGGCAGCGGTACGTTTCCGTCACTTTTCGACGATTTAAACACGCGGCGGTACGGGCTGCGTATCTCTCCATGTTGCTGTCCCTGAAGTTTTCTTCAGGGTTTTTTTTTTGTCCGACACGTCTAACTTGCGTCGGCCGTCTGCGTGGCGCGTTCTGTGCGCCTGTGTATAGTTGGGCGGCAAGTGACACCGCGGCGTGCGTCTGCCGTCGCGGACGCTCCTCCGGACTGGGAAGCAGAGCCATGTAGCCTGCTGTTGGCGCGGGGCGGAGCGCCGGCCGGCTATCAGCCGACGGTGGCCAGGCGGGATCGCCGAGCAGAGAGCTTTGCATTGCTGTACGATAGTATGCTGGGGGGGTCGGAGCTCAGTCGCATGTCATCGTGGTAATCGTACTCACTATCGTGTTGCCTCGGACCGAATGTCGTCGGCGGCGCCAGTTGTAGCGAGATGGACTGTGGGGCATTGGCGGCGAATTGGTGCCTGCCCGCGCCCGCTCCGTCTGCGCTGGTGACATGCCCTCACTGAACAGTCCATGGGGTCCCTGCCTGAGAATATTAGCCGGTCGGTTAGGGCTTGTGTGCGGTCCATTGTGTGGCATATTGATAAATCGTTTAAACGGGACAGCGCTACACCGTGAAATGTTTGTTGTATGTGCCTGTGGAAGTGCCATAGAGGCACTGAGTCTGCTTACCTGGTCGTTGGCGGAGCGAAGAGTTCTGACATGTCATTGGTTGTAACATATGCACTGTCTTCAAAAAGCTGTACACATGTGGGCATGCTTTCTGGTAATATATCGTTATACACATATGCTTGTCCTTGCGACAGGGTGTACACATGTGCAGGCACGGTGTGTACTGGCACGTGCCTACACATGGACTAACGGAACGCAAACCTTCGGACAGAGGGGGAATCGTCATATGACGCCTGCCTTAAGATGGATGGCTTTTGGAGAGCGTACGTTTGGAGATAGAACGGCGCAAAAGGCGTCATTATTAAAGCGGCCGTCTGTTTAGAATGCTGTTAGTTTAAAACTGTTCCCAAAGTGAACGTATAAAGCCTTGCGAGGGATGCATTTACGAGCGTCGTACTTTGGCACACGCCACCGCGTCACGTGATGCGTGCTGGGGAGGGGGCAGGGCGCCTTTGCGGTACAGGAATGCTCCATAGTTGGAGATACTGAAGTAAGCATCAGATGTGATGCAATAAATTAACTTAACACTATTGATATACTTTTTAATGGAGAAGACTGCTCTAGACGCGCAATATCTCTGTTTATTAACTATGATTTTCGATACGTCATTGTTTGATTACGCCATCGTCCCTTGCACAACAGTGATTGAGAGCCAACTGACGGCCGTTATATCTGTATGTTGTGCTCGCGGATGCCACATATGAACAACTCGATAATCTAATCCGACGTTATTATGACGTCATGGATGCTTGGGTCCTTGAAATAGTCTCCGAAATAGTCTGCACATCTCCCCGGGTATTAAGCCCAGCAACTGGAGGGGTTAGGTCTTCAGAAAGGCAGGGCTGTGAGCTGCACAGAATAATCTCAGATGGCTATTTTAGTTCAAATCCCCACACAAATGTGGACTCCTCCTTAAATGGGATGCCAGTGGATTGCGCTGGGCTTTAGCAATGGTTTTATGCTAGTACTAATTATGATTGATTAATGAGTACACCCATTTGAAGAAAAAAACAGCACCACGGCATACAAGGGAAGTTTACGCTGGTAAAAAAGCGCTTCCGTTTTCGCTCAGCTATGTTTTGCATGGTTATTGCCGTCTCAGGATTGTAACTGCTCATAGCCGTGGCCTCTTATCGCTGTAGTCGGTCACTGAGCAGAAGAAATACGGTGCTAAGGATCTATGGATGTAATGATGTCGATTATTGTTGCCCATGGTCCGGAACATAATTCACGTTACCGTTGTTGGTAAGATTGGGAAAGTGCCTAGAGACGTTGCGAAGAGGAAAGGGGCGGGTACCTGAGCCAGATTTCGGCCACTTTAATTCACGTCCCCGATGCCCAATTGAAAAACTGTATCGAACATCTAGTAAAATTTCAAAACTGCTCTAGTGTTGGTTAGCGACTTCTCATCTGAAGCTGACGTGTTTTGTTAAGAGGCTTAGAATGAGCTGTAATTTTAGGAAGAAGTCTTATAAATCGACGGGCTACGATCAAAAAAACATTATGTCCTTCCAAGGGTGGCTCGAGGCCCAAAGCAGACGGTTACATGTAGGAAAGCGTGACCTGAAACAATAAACCAGAGGTTGTAAGAACTGTGTGTGCTCGGTCAAGATGTGCCCATATAAAAATTAAATGGGCCGCACCACATTTTCAACGGACACTTGAATAATCAGGGCATAGAAGGTAAAAGCAAAGGCTGGTGACAATAAAATCATCAGAGTTTGAAAAAAGCGCGACCAATGCTTTGACGCGCGTTGGAACTTGTATAAGCATGAAAGGCCTTTAACTCCTGCTGCTTCGGGGTTATGTGTTGGCATTTTTATTCTGTCCTCTTCAATAACGTTCTGTTATTTAATTAATAATTTTTTTATTCTGTCCTCTTCAATAACGTTCTGTTATTTAATTAATAATTTTTTATTCTGTCCTCTTCAATGACAAATTCTGTCTGAGTCTTCAATGACGAGTCTTCCGTCACCGCGGCTGCGCCGCTGACACTCAGGAGTCAGGTCTGGATACGTATTCGAGAACGTACCCTGATGTGTGATTACGCGCACACACGACCCGCGCGGCAGCCATCAGCCGACCCTCTCCTTACGCGTCGGCTCCTACGCGCGCGGGAGCCGTCAAGGGCAGATCTAGGGCAATGCTAGGGAGCAGCGTGTACGGGGACGCCACAGCTCTAACACTAAGTTAATCGACATTCAGTTTACCATGAGGATTACCTCGTTCTGGAAGTCTTCAATTTGCCACGACTTTATGAATAAAACATTCGTTAAATTGAGAAAACCCAAAGTTTGGAATGGTCAGATTTCTTCAGAAAAAAAATGGCTAACGCCACGCCAGTATTTCTTTTGCTCTGAAGCACACCAGTCATAACGTGATAAGTGCATTCCTCGAAAATATAATTTTGATACAACTAGATGGAAGTTGTGTGGCATGTCGCCGAAATGCACTATAACCCGTCCCGTCCGAAATGCACCATAGCTTGTCTGACAGCTTAGTTGGTTAGAGCCCCTCTCGATTCGCGCAGCAACAGCGGGATGTGTTTGAGTCGTCTCAGGTATCCGTAATATTCCGACACGTTAATCCTTCGCCGAAAAATTATGCCGTTGACACGGAATTTTCTGACCGGATGGCGGTGGGGGGGGGGGGGGGGGGGGGGTGGATAGGGCTAACGCAGCAAACGATACTTAGCATAAGCCCTCAACCCAGAAACGCATCCAATCAAGAGGTTTAGACTAAACCTTTTAAAAAACACGGCCGCGTCTACCAAAATGCATTCAACTTCGGCAAACACCAATGATGCTAAAAGAAACGGTGCTTATGTCACAGATGCGGAGAGCGTTGTGTGCGTGTTATGATCCCCAGTTTTGAGAGCGTGATAGTGCTAAAATATCATTGATCTTCCCTGCAAACAGATGCACAGAACACCGCATGGGCTCCGATTTTGTCGTAAAATCACAGTTCAACAGTTTAATAGTGCCATTTTCGCAAACAATTGCAAAAATTACCCAGACTGTCTCTAACTGAATCTCATATGTATATCGAGTGGCCCAGATAAGAGTTAACCTACGCTTTACTCCGCAGTGGTAAGTGCATTTTTTGCACAGTCAAGACCGTGGGTCGTTCAACTAACTATTCAATGACAAAGTTCAATAAAAAATCCCAGTCTCAGTGGTTCACATTCGTAAGATTTGTAACTCTATAAAAGATGCTTTTATGACGAGAACGAGGATCCGGTCAGTATCACCCCCGTGCGCTACACCGCTACTGCTCTGATATCCTTATTAGCGACCCTGGAGCGACCTCACGGGGTTGATCGGGACGAGGAGGGGCTCCAGCAGGACGGGGTGATACTCCACACGGCACGGGCTCATACGGGGGAGTTGGCATCATGAAAACACTAAGTAGTTACACGATACTGTCAGGTGCAAAATGAGCGTGATATGAATGGTAATGTGATTAGGTGCTTAGTGTGCCCGCAGTTCAGAGACATTTGCTACATTTCATAGACCCATATTCCTTTTTTGCCCATATGCATCGGGGGCTCAAGTCAGTATGGGGTAGGCTCATCCCCACCACCCCGCCCAATAGTGTACAAAGTGACGCCACTGGTCCCATGCATCTGTTCAGCATGGAGAAAGACCATGAGCACATTTAGAGGGGGCGCGTGTACAGATTTGATGCGCCTCAGAAACGTTACAATTGGAGCCCGCAGACTAATTCTTTGCTGATGATTTGTTTACCCGCATATTGAACAAAACTTAGTTCACTTTTGCTTCCAGGATATCAGTAACAAGCTGGACGCTAATAATGCTTCCCGGTAATTGGAAACGTTGCAATGCCACAAGTGCTACTGAGAACTGTCACGTGCTTTCTGCCCGCGCCAGGTGCCGGAAAAAGGCATCTTTGTTTTCATTTTCTTAAGCATGTGTGTTTGTGTAGCTCACCAAAATTTGTCCGGACAACCGCATACTGTTCCTCGTCAGTCGTTGCTTCGGGAGGACAGAGGTAGACTAGTGACGGCCAAAGAATTTCGAAGTCATCACAAAGCTACCATGCCAGCGAAAACGCCAGTGATGGACTTTCTGATGCATTGTATTAACGCGACGAATCCACGGCTCGTAATCACGAGCTGAGGCTGCTAGGGTCAGAACAAACTGCCGTTTGCCTGTGGGTAATCTTTGGTTCCTCGTGGTGTATCAGTCCTTTCCGCACGAGACTTCCACAGCAGACCGAATCACGCGTATGCGCTGCAGCTGCGATATGTTCAATTAAACATATTTCAGGAGGTGGAATGCCCTGAGCACTATCGGCGTGTTAGAAATGAGCTGGCCGAAAGGTCAAAACTGTCGTAACAGCGAGCGCTGATCCCGGCGTCGACTCGCGACTTGCCTCAGCGCCGGCAGCCAGGCGGCTCCCCCAAGGTCACGTGGGGCCGAGTCGGCGGCGGGCCCGACCAGCGCCGCCGCCAGTGTTTTTGTCGCGCCTCCGGCCACCGGCGCGTAGCCCCCGCCCGGCCGCTCCCGCGCGCGGCCTCCAACGAGCGCCCGGCGCCCGCGGCAACCTTTCACCAGCGCAGCCAATCGGCACGCCGCACTCATCGCGGCTACCAATGGCACGGCGCGAGACAGCAGCGCTGCCGAGACACGGTCGGACAGGGCCT